ACTAACGATTCGATGGCTCGGAACAATCTGACAAAAAAAAAAAAAAAAAAAAAACAATACAAACGTTGTTGTGAAATTGGTCGTATTTACCTCAAATCGTCGAGTTAACGACAACCGCTGGACGGGAAAAAGCCAGCACGGTGTTATTACCGCGAAATGGGGGCATCCCCATGATCCCCGCGCATACGCATGAGACGACTGTTGGCACGCGTGTTCACGCGGGGACTCCCTTCGTTGCAGCCCGCGTAATCGCGTGGCTTTACGTGTCACTTTGTAGCGCATGAATAATTAATGGCTTGCGTTTTATTCCTGCGCACGGGTTTACGGCCCTACTTTTTACCCTCGTCGCGTTCCTCTTTGATTTCGATGCGCGCAATCGGCCGACGCGTTTCCTGGCAGGGGGAGAAAAAAAAATGACTCGAATGACACGCCTGGTCGTGTTTGCGTGATCGTCGTGATTACGTTCTTTATCCGTGAAATAATTGCGCGACGCTTGGATAATTTTTCATTCTCTCATTTTAAATAGAGCACGGTTTCACTTCCATAAGACTATTATGGAACACTAAGCCTGACCACGAATCGCAGAGACTACGCGTAGAAGAAAGCAAAGTCTTATGAGCGAACTGAGAAATGTTGGACGAGGTTCGCGGTGTTCTATACGTGGAATATGAATAGCAAGAGCCGAGATTTACATTGAAAAACAAAGAACACGTAAATTGTGTCTCACTGCTCGCCGACCAAGTCGATGGGCGCCCAGGCTTCGCAGCGGGCACTTAAATCGCTTTACGATCCAGAAAACACGAGCGGTCTGCAATTCCGGATTCTTTCGGCTATCGTTACCGCAGAAAAGTTCCAGGGTGCTTCGGGCAGGCCGGTGGCAGTGAACAAACCTTGTCTAGCATGCTTGTTAACGATGAAAAGCGTGTAGCCTCTGCTTGCAACCGGGCACAATAGGACCCGAACTCGAGAGGCGCGCCGTCGTTTTTTTTTTATATAGAAATCGCAGCCTATTGTGAATCAACGAATGCAAATGCATCCGTGCCCTGTACGTATTTACGAAAAAGTATGGAAATTATTTATTGAAATAATGTACCGAAGTGTGCATTAAAATGGCCAATTATACATGAAATCCCGAAGAAAGCTTAGGATAAGCTGCAAATTCTGACACCTGTAAGTGCTCAAAAAGTAACACAAGAGGACCCAGTCGCGTGCTCCGCCTCGTACAAAGAATGTTTACGGAAGATTTCATAGTTTTTCACCGCATTTTTCCCAAAAAACCACCGTGTCCTCGGCCCAACAGTGCTCCATTTTTTTCTTTATCGAATCGTGGACTCGATTAAAGCACGCTCAAAGGCGTATTGTGTCTTCGATGGGCTTGTTTTTACGAGACGAATCGTTGCTGCGCGCAGAGCATCGCGGCGCATCGCGCCATGTGTTGCGCTCAATTGGACGCCCTTAGGGTAGAAAAACGGACCCAGGGCCCTGTTTACCAACACATCTGGCGAGCGGAACCGCTCTGGGCCTTGGGCCCCGTCTATGGGGGCGTTCTCGTTTTTTGTAAGGTACAATATTGTACTTTAAAACATCGAGTTTACTTAGCGAAAGTATTAAGTCTTCGTAATGTTTCTTTTAAAATGATTATCAGACAAAACGTTGTCTAAATTTGACATTACTTGAAAGTCACCCTCGTCTCAATTGAACACTAAATACTACACCGGATGTTCCGTTTGGAATCGACGTTGTACGTATACGTCGGGCCAAGAATAACCGTTCAAGGTAGGCGAAAATTACAAAGTTGACTGCTAGACCGAGAATAGATGGGATAATTACGCGTATCCACCGGTGAGTACGAGTCAGCCGTGCACAGCGCAATGTTTACAGTTAGCCGCGTAATTAAATGTATATAATTATGGAAATTAGGCACACGGGGTAGACGAGGAGAGAACAAACTGTCGTGGCCTCGCGAAACAAGCGACCGTTACTTCCGTAATCCTCGTTATTGACGGCACAATAGTTGAGATCGAGCGTAATGGCGGTCCCTCGGTCGCAACGAAATTATTAAGTGGGCGTCTTGTAGCCCCTAACGGGATCGATAGGAAACAACCTGGCAATAGTCTTCGACTCGCGATGCTTTAACGCGATGGTCGTCATGTCACCCAAAAACGGTATCAGGATTTTTAGTGAGAAATTTAAAAAATTAAGAAAACAAACTTGGCAGCCAACGTGTTAGCTCTAGAAAGCTCCCTTCCTAAGGGTTGCACCGCCCGCTGGAGAGGACAGGACATAGCATAGGGTTCTTCCGACGTATCCTCGCAGCGAAAGAGCAGAAAGCGTTCCGACAGGATCTCGAAATCGATTAGACGATTGGGCCGCAGGTGCGCGATTTCCCGACGCGAAATTTATAGACTGATTCGCGCCTGGAGTTATCCGTGAGCCTGAGCGCGACTGGAAAAGACCGAGTGAAGGGATCGGCTTCGATTCAATGCCCTTATTCGCCGCGGGTATACGTTACACCGCGTTATCTCGATACAGGTGCGTGCGTCCTACCGCGGAAGATGAACGGTCGTTAGAGAGAGGAAACGATATGCAGATGAGAGACCGTGGGCTTCGTTGCAACCGACTGCTCCGGACATCTTTCGGCGCGGAAGCGACGAAGCTGCGCGCTCGCGTCTCTTCCGACCCGTTTTGGCGCGATTCGCGTGATAAACACAGCGGGACACGCTCAAACACTACGCTTGACGCTTGCAGTTAAAGGTGCTGGGACATCGAGTAATTTATCTGTTTCTATTGCCGAAGTGCGAATAGGTACGTGTAATTCTTTGGTGATTGCTTAATTGGACAAAGGGTACATCCCCAAGTCGGTGATCCAGTGGGATACTCTTAATCATTTACAAGTCGTAAATACCTACGACACAAGGGGAATTCTGATTAAATATTGCGTTTCACGCGCATAACCCGCACTTTTCGTCAATTCCGCTGCCGTTCGAGCGGTGCTGTATTTACACGCCCTACACACCGCCGCGAACGGGCAATTTGAATTAATCGAACCTCGCCCTCCCTGTATCACGCCCGCGGCGTAATTTGTAAAGTAACGGCATTACGTTATTTCGGTACAACGCATTATATAACCATAGAATACGTAATGCGCGGCGGCGATACCCAGAAGTCATCGACGGAACGCGCGCCTCGAGACTCCGAAGCACGCGCATCTATTTTCATGCTCCGATATTATTATAATAATCGTTCAAGCAAACCGTTCCGCGCTGGGCCACTTTCCCGTCCGCAGATCGGGCCCAGACCCCGCCGAACGGGCCCTGTTGGTCCCATTGCAGCAACTCCTCTCTCCAAGACCAAATTGGAGGGCCTAAGGGGTTGAATAGTGGAACAAAAAAGTGAAAAATGTGGCACTGTTTTCTACCTTTTGATTCACCCTAATACTACATAATGTTTATGTAGATTTTAATTCAATCTCATACAAACTGGGTTAGATTTAATAGCAGCCTATCGCTGACTCTCTTCACACAACGGATATTAAACCCTAATGCACAGATGCGGTATAGGAAAATGCAAATATCAATTTGTAACTGGTCGTAATAATAAATACGAATACTATTATTAATATTATATGTATTCGTAGTACCTATAGCCCAGGGGTTTACAAAATCTTAATACGCCGTTGCCTCTCCCCATTCAAGAGGGAACGCGGTGAGCTCCTGGGCCCCGAGGGATCAAACCGACACGCTCGCGTGTAATCACTGTAATTTCGGTCACGGACCGCGCCAGTGTAATTTTTTCACCGAACGATCGCCAAATTTCATTCGATTTCATTAATGGGTCCCGGGGACCCCGGGCGGTTTTTCGCAGGTCGTGCGACGATAACGCGACGTGACAGACTCGCGACTGTTCCATCCCAGGGACCCGAGTTACACGTCGTTTACCCTCAGCGCCATCCTTTCTCTCGTACAAGGAAAACGTCCTATTTTTCGCGAGTAGAACATTAAGTATGAGCAGTCGAGCACTCTAGAAAAATAAATAATCAAAAGTTGTCGAATCCTGAACGCCGAAAATTGTTTCTAAATTTGTAGCATCATCTGGCAAGAGCTTATACGTTACGAAAGCTTCACAGTTCAATCGATGTATCCTTGTTGAAAAAATGAAACCACGAACGTTCATTCGTACTTTGTAATCGCTGTGAGTTGAAGCAGATAGAGTTTAAAAAACCGCCTTCGGCCTGTTCTTTGCTTTACGAGCGCGCCGAAACCGTTTGGCCCTGCGCCAAGCGGGTCTCGCGCGATAAAATATTGGTCAAAGTATATTCGTCGGTTTCTCGATTAAACGCGAGCTTATGCATCCTCGCATAATGCATACCCTTTTGTTTACAGTGCGTCACGACGCGCTGAAGAAAGCGGCGTTCAATACATCGTTAACGACGGGCGCAATTAAAAATAATCTGCAAGTAAGATCGCGACGGTTTGCTTCCGTGTCTACGGAACAAAAGGTATTCTTCGCGTACGCGTCGATATTAACGAGTTATGGCCGAAGCGGTGGCGCGACGAAAGGTAATCGCGCGAGGAGGAGCTGAACTGAGAAACGAGGATTTGCGTTTCGATTTCGCACATAATAACCCGCGTTACAGCCGTGGAGGGCAGAACGCATCCTGGAACGAGTGGTCGTCAGAGATAGGGTCCTGTTTCATTTTGCAATTGGAGGTTTCGTTCTCGCGATATGAGCAGTTGAAGTTGTCACGCGTATGTGAACGCGTGGGCACGCGTTACTCGTCCGTCAGAAGCGTGCACGCGTATCCACGCGGTCAGCTGATCGGTAAATTGTAATAACTTGTACCTAGGCAATGAAGCATCGAACTGCAAAATGGTAAACTTTTCGATTTCTTATCTTACAGAGAATTGATTCTGAGGATTGATTTTACACGCGAAACCCCTTGGAATTAGAAAAACGAGAAATCATCGCGAGGAAGAAAAATGATTGCGTAAGAAACTCACAGGTATCGCTGGGTGCAGTCCACGAAGCGCAGCGTTGGTCGATTTGCGATGCCTGTTCTGGTACTGCGCGGCCCTGTACCCGCTATTGTTCTGGTGGCCGGGGTACGGCGAACGGTGCTGCATCGACGGCAGAAACGCCGCGTAAGGCATTCCACGGTATCCAGAAGGTTTCCCATGGTGATAGTCGCCCATCTTGAACCGATGAGGTTCGTGATGAAGGAAACCGTCGTTGTGCACACCGGACGCAGCCACGCGGAATCGTTCGTGCTCGCGCTCGTGCTCCTCGATTTTTCCCATTCGATCTGGCGTGGGTCTGGGGCTGGGGAACGACGGCGGAACCATCGCCTGTGGCCCGTAAAAGTGAGGGAACACGTAGGAATTCGGTAAACTGGTCACAGGCCTATAGCCTTGGTGCTGCGGCTGACACTGACCAGGGATGTCGGGATAACCGTCAAACTTGGGCGGAACTATCGGTTTCCTGTCGTAGCGATAGTCGTGTCGCGGTGGATGATACTCATCCTGAGGCTCCCGCTTCACCTCGAACGCCTCCGTCGATTCCGCAACCTCGACTTTGACTCTGACGGACTCCGCCGAGTTCCTGTCGTTTGCGATCTCGCCCTTTACGGCGAAACTCTTTGGCGATTTGACGCAGGGACTCGGAACGGAGTCCCCGTCGCAGCCAACGCTGCCCTGCTGCATTCTCGGGATGTTCACGCGCGACGCCCTTTCGATGGGAGCATCGCACGTGGAGACAGGAACGCGCGTCAGACCGCCGCGAATCTCGGGGGAATCTCGAGCCGTGCGACGGCCGGACAATGAACGGCGCAATCCACTGCGATGCGCATTATTGACGCAGGACGGCCGACAGTCGACTCGTTGACACCTCTCGCTGATTCGGATCGAATATTATCCTGTTTCTTGGCGCGAAGTATCTGTCAGTGGCAAGACAGACCTCCAGATCATTCTTATTTATTACACAGGATGTCACATGAAAGAAACGCCTCGTCATCGAAATGGATGCATCGCTTGAATCTTTGAAAAGTCTTTCGAGGAATTCCAGTTGAATATTATCCTAGTCCTTGGATAATACGGCTGTCAGCAGCAACCTGGTCGACTGACATTCGGATCATTTCTATGTTTAACCATGAACACGGAATATTACAAGAAAAGTAGTAACTCTCCCTAGAGAGTTACGCTTAACGTCCTCAAAACGGATGCAACTTGGAGCAGACGAGCTTCGAAGCGTAGAGCATCGGGGAAAGGAAAACGTGACCCTGCAGGAACACCGCCATAGTCATCTGTCGCTGACTCCCGCGTGTAAAAAGATGATCAGCTCGCTGAGGCTCGAGCGGAGAGGTTCGAGCGGACAGAAGCGTTCAACGGCACGCAGTCGGTTGGTAGAAGCGGCGCTCGTATAGCAGGCTGGCTCGGTGCTTTTCGGCCGAGTGGAGGGGGTGAAGGAGGGGAGGACAAGGGCGGCGTGACAGTTTCCGTGTCACGTGTCCCCGACCTTAGGCCCCGCCTACGACTCGGATTTTCCTTCGGCGGTCGGATCGTTACCTGGCCCTATCGGGGGCCCTTTCCTCCTCGTCATTCGTCGAGCGTAGGTTGCGCGGATCGCGAGAGAGAAGGAGAGGCTTTTCACTCGGGGAGGGTTGTCACTCGCAGTCGACCCGCACGCGGATTGTCACAGCGCGCCACGATTCGGGGGATTCCCACTCCCCCCACTCCACTGCCGTCGCCTCCTCCTTCGACGAGCGGACGTCGCCGAGCGTGAAGGCACCGCGATGCGCGTTTTCACCGTCTTCCGCGAACTTTTTACGGTACACTGCCTCGAGAATCCAGCGTCGGAAGGATGCCCTGCTATCCAGCGAGACTCCAACTCGCTCTAAGGTCGAACGAACGCGACTCGCGAATCGAAGATCGCGATGACGACACCCCCGACCGCGAGGGTCGTTTCCACGATGAGGAAAACACCGAAATCGGTCGCAACGCAGCGGCCATACGCGGTATAAGGATGCCGGATTGCCTCGGTCGAGCTGATCGCGTACGAGTTTCGTTCCACGCAGCGTGAAACTCTTGGCGGAGGTGCGCGGCCACCACCAATCGCCGAGGACGCACGAACCGAACCGAACATACCCGAACCGGTGTTATATATCCGCTCTATACCAACGGAGTCGGCCAGCCGGCTGCCTCCCGCCTTCCGCGGTACCTACGCGGCCAGACCCACTTTGTGGGTTCACCTTTTGTCGGGGATATCTTACCGGTGCGCTTCTATTCACGGTTTACTACGTACGCTACTCTTCTTCACGATGCGTCTACCTTAACGGGGTTTGGTCTCTCGGAGGACCACAACCCCCTCGAACGAACGTCATTCGAATCGAACTGCTCCGAATTTTGGAGCGGTTGATATTTGATTCAAACATTCGAGACATTCTCGATTCCCACCTTCTGTCAGACTCTCCGGTTCGTATACGAAACGTGTTAATGACAGAAACAGCGTAGAAATCTACCGTATGCTTTATTTGAGGAGCGCGTCCATGCGTAATTACTCGCCTGTATGCTGCCACTTAACGGAAAGAAATATCGAGCGTGAGAGATTAGCGAACACTCCCATTCCATTAAAGCATCATTAATACACGGCAAACACGCCGTGCGAGCAGAAAAGAACGATTTACATGAAAGAAACGCGCGGCTCCTTTGAAGTCGCATACGTAACTGGTAAGGCGTGAGCTTAAAGGCGCCGTATCGAACCGATACGAACGACACTCGACGACTCCATTTTTTCGCCAATTTGAGGATCTATAGTTTCCAATTCTACGTTATTCTCGGCGTTGATTTCCGTTGAGAACTACCATTCGCGATACATATCCGTTGCGTCATGTAAATTGATACTCGTACACGGCTGAACGCCACGGGCGAATATTTATTCGAGTGATAAATTACCGTAACGTCGAACGGTCATGCTTTCAATTACAATTTCGCTAACTAGATCATCGGGCATCGCTCGACTCCGATGGATGGGGGCAGAACGTCCGTACGTCGAGCAATCGCCTTAAGAACGCCGCGTTACGCAACGGGACAAAGATGGTGGGTCGCAATTTAATCGTAATTAGTATGACGGATACCATCTTCGCGCCAAGTAGCCCGCTTTTCGAAATTCTAGTTAGCGAGTAACCTACGTACGTCTACCTGTGCTCCGGTTTCGACACAAAAGGAACAAAGACCCTTCGTCTCCCTTCGTTCGATAGTCGAACGGGGATTGGCGGAGGACGCCGTCCCGCGTACATGCACTTTCGCAGCGGGATGACTGGTGAGAGAATTCAATTTCCACCGTCGTTATCGTGCCTCCATCTTCCGTTGGCCTCTCTCGCTCCTCGTTTTTTCTCGGTCTGGACATCGAATCTCTTGCTCCGCAGAACGTAGAGGCGGGGTGACCATCGAGGGTTAGAAAGGACGACGATGGATGTTCGAGCATCACTTTGTTGCAGGACTGTTGCGCCAAATCAAAAGGGTAAAAGAATTGAACGGACCTAATTTTTCGGTTTTTTGACATTTCCTTCGCGAAGATTTTTAATAATCTCCTGCAGATTCAGCGAGCTTATGGTCGACTAAATTTTGTAGGGTATTCCGAGGATAATAAACACGAAACGTGAGTTAACCGATTAGAGACGAACTCCATGTGTAGTACAATCTGTGCTATTTTGTTCCTAACCAATATTGATCATTTGCTATGGATGTGCAACACAGTTTCGGGTAGGATCCAAACTGTGTAATCAGTTACTAAATAACAGCACATGGGAATTCCTAGATAATTAACCTCGTCCAGACACTAACCTTACCTACCCACGCTCAACTTCACTGGTTTAACCCAAACTTCCATTTGAAGTTTTGTTTAAATACGGAATCGTAAAACGAATAACGAAATTTGTGATTATTTAAAAAATAACCATCTCCATAAAAAATGAGTGTGCAGATCAAAGACACATTCTCCGTCGCTGAGAACTGAACGTCCATCTCGAAAGCTTATCGCTCGTTGGAAAATAAATAATCCATGATACAACCGAAGAGCATCAGAATCGAGATACCAGTTGACAGCGACATATCGGGACCGAAAAATCGCAGACGAGATTGGCCGCGACCTTTCCAAGCGCGGATGTCGATTTTTCAGCCGCGTTTCCCGCGCGATAAACGTCGCGGCAGTGCTGAGCCAAGCAAAACGATTATATTTTACGAGCTGGGGAGAGCTGGTCCTCGTTACGCAATCGGGCCACGCTTCCCAGCTGTCCGATCGTAGCTCAGGATGGGGGAAGCGGTATCGTAGAGCAAAGAAAAACAAGCCCACGTCAAGCGCGTACATCGATTACCGGCTTGTTTAGTTTACACGGTGATACTCCCCGCTGGAACACACCGATCCTCGAGAAATTAGTTCTATTCCCGGGGCTGCGCTGCTTCGAGCTTCGATGACGCAAATTTCTGGGTTATCTTTCGGAAGTCAGAGAACTGAGAACAGAGACACTGTTCGCAGAATAAGAGGAACATTCCCAAGTCCCAGGCTCTCAATCTCCCCGGCGATGCCCAGCAGCGCAAACCACGGCAACTTGTTCGTCGAGTAATCTATTTTCCAATTTCATATCGACCTATAGCGAGACCTCTGCGACTCAACGACTCCGAGTCGAACCTCTGTAAATCGAAGCTTCGTTCAATTCCCTTTGCAAATTCTACTTAATTTGAAAAATATACAAAACACGTTGTATATCTACTTTTAGTGGCTCCGAAATAGGTCCAAAGATTGAATGAGATTTTGGAGTCAGTTCAGACACTCAGTATCTGACATTAATTAAGCATAAAAACAGCAAAGCTGTAGGTAAATCGAAATTGAAAACGAAGCCATTCGAAAATGAGACCAGTACAGCCCGAAATATTTTTCATTTCTCTTCAGCTTCGACTTACCGAAATCCGACTGTGCGTACAATCTCGTGAACAATTTTCAGCGAGGAGCTGCGCCGCGGTCGATCCTGGAGGAGAGTGTTTCCTGGAGAACGATCGCAAACGGGGGCGTGTGTCACCAAGCTGTCGGGGGACAGATCGAGCCAATGAGGAGGTGGAAAGGCGTGGATCCAGGAGGCAGAGGACAGCGAGCGGACGACACAGAAAAGAAGGGGACTCTTGAGCGACACGAGCCGTCCCTCTGTCTTTCTCGGCTCCTCGAACGCGTCTGTGTCGGTGATCGCGGTCGCACGGTCCTTCAGCTGCGTGGTGGGGACACCGACTGAGGGACCGTAGGGGAAGCAGCCGCGCGGTGGGGACACCGCACACGCCCACTGGGACAGTGGTGGGGGATGTCTTGGACTGCGCGGTTCGAGGCGCATGTGGCGTTTGCATCTAAACTGTAGGCTTGTATGCGCGACAGACGCTGACTCGAGATAATCGTTCTCTTATGTTGAAATTAGGTCTGCAACAATGCGACTTGAAGCGATGTCATATGTTACGTTACCCCTTCAACCTAATCTATTGTCTGGTGGCAATAATTAATCGAAACAAATCTACTCCTTAGAAGGAGATGATAAAGAATAATACATATTTATAATACCTTCCGTTCATAAAATAATATATGTACTTGGAAAAAAATATCGTACCACCATAGCGACGACACAGACTTCAAAGACAAGTGCAAAACGCCGCCACCGTGGCAGCAC